GATTGCTAGCGACCAGAACACACATCCTCCTTACCTGAGTCCTTGCGATTTCAATCATACTTTTGGCAGCAGGATGCTTGACGGTGATTTCCCTAAAATAGTAACGAATCACCTCACATCGAATGGAAGCCAAGACAGTAGTATTTGCTGTTCCGTCGTGCGCGGCGATTGGCGCGTCGTTTTTTCAGGATTCCATGGTACTACGAGATTGCAGCATCCGTCATTAACGTGCGTGATATCGCACGCGACGCCCCCAGCCGCGGTGAATTACGATTGTCTTGTCACACACCCGCATGGCTTTGCACTTTTGTAATGGTTACCTTAGAATCGCGTTGCCGTCATTAGTCATGACGATGCCTCCCATAGGATCCATCAGCATCTTTAACATGGCCCTTGGTCCCAGACTCGTGCGAATTACATCAGCAATGGTCTAAATAAGGACGGAATTCAACCACTAATCAGTTTTGTAATGGCGATTCCAATGGGAAGTTAAATGAAAGGCAGAAAGAAAAACTCAAAAGGTCGTTTTGAAGCGAAAATAAGTCAGAAAAGGTAATGGGGTAAGAGGATGCTCACCTTACAAGCTGTAATGTTACCAATCTGAACATCATGACCACTCTCCCTTTTCGTGCCTTGACTAAGCACGATGATGGGCTGCTGACCCGCTCCACGCATCATCTTTACCCTGGAAAAAATCTGCATGAAGGTGTAACCTCGATTTAACATGAGTTACCACACAATAAAGGCGACGCTGGGCAACGAGGGGGGCAGGGGGCTTTCGCAATTTCGCTGCTTCAATACTTCTGGTTTACAAGTCTCACTCTGGTAAAACTTGTGAACTCTTGTGAAGCTGGAGCAAACTCGTCCAGCCACCATGTTAATTAGTATTTATATGGAATTTCACTGCTTTACAAGGGTTGACAAGTGGACTTTACACACTCTGAATGGTGTCATCATGGCTTTACAAGGTTTCACAGGTCTCCACTTGTAGGCGTCAATGGGAAGTAACTAAAGCGCAAAAAGCCCCTATCCTCCTCGCCCAACTGGCTGCGCAACAGCACAGCCGTTTAACTTGGAGTTTACTTGAGCGCCGGAGAAGATTAACTAGATGGATAAGCTGCACTATATGTATATTTATCTATGTGTAGTTCTTCGTCTCTCAATATCATTATTGTATGTGTGTATTCTCTTTTTTCGCAATATACAAAGGATTACACACGCTTAGAAATCGCGGATCGACGAATGGGCGCTGGTTGGCTGAGAGAGTATTAGGGAAATAGGAGGATAAACTTTGCCTAATCACGCAGCGTGCTTTGGGATAGTAGAGGGATAAGAGGGTAGCAGATTGTGTGAAGGCAGCGCTTTGATCTACTGTTATCCTATCCTCTCGAACGAAGAGAGCTACGCAGCCGTAGGAATGAAATGCTGCGACGCAATTTTACACCACTTTTACACCACTTTGCGTACGTACTCCTCAGCTCACGCCTAATTTCAATAATTTTCGAGTGTTTTATGATTGACTAGGAAAGGTCAGCTAGTCCTTTGCAATAAATTATACATAAATGTACTCGCATTGAGACGCTAAACTCAATTTTGCTCGCGAAGTTTGCGAGATGACTTGCCGAACATAATGAGGAGTTTTATCAGTGTTTTTTTGAGGTGAAAGAGTACGGCGGGTACAGATCCACGTGGTAGGGTAATCAAGTGATTAGGAAAGACTAGCCACAAAGGCCATTCTGTGAGAATTCCAGCTTTCATTCAACAAGGCCAATTATGATACTGACCTACACTTGAAAGAAGGCTGGACCACGAGATGGGTTCGCGGCTTAGGCATCCTGGCATTAAACGAACCGATGATCTTCCGTGTTCAAAGGCTTGAAGTAGTACAAGTACAATTTCCACGTGAAAACTTTGGAGTTTGGCAGATCATCAGCAAAGTGTCACCATAGATTGAGGCCAACGCCGTCTCTTGGCGTCTTCGAAGCAGAGCCTTCGTCACTCGATGCCCACTTCTTGCGGAACCGTGAAAAAACTTTTCAGAAAGCGGTCGGCCGTCCTTTTGGAGAGCGATGTCTTCCTCGCGTGTTGGCATCTACATCATTTTCTGATTATTAGAATCAAATTGCCAGTCAGGACTAGTCGGTTATGGATAGGAGTGGTCAGAAGGGGAAGAGTCCACAGTTTGGCTGTTATTGCCGGAGCAATAACGGCCAAACAGTGAACACGTAATTTTTTAAATGAAGTTAAGCTCTTAGATTATGATGAGAATTTGTCTCCAAAGGGAGTGTGACACCTCGACACGAATGTCACACCTTTTCAGTGTAAAAAAGCTTATAAAATTTATTGCAACCTCATAAGCTTTTCTTTTTCTGCGAGAACGAAGTCGGAAACGCGGCAGAAAAGCTGATTCTGTCCAAAGATTAAGTCTCATTGCTAGGAAATCCTTGAGTCCACCACCCAGCCTCACACCAACTCATAAACATAACCAATTTTTCGAAGCCTGGACAAAATTCAGAATTGACTGGAAGCATGCTTTCAGAAGTAGTTCGAGCCGTTGAACACGAAAATGGCAGTCATTAGGCAAGGAATGTTTCTGTGATGTGGACTTACTTAGCTCAGTCTCAGTAGTGGTAAGTACTTGGAATCAGCTGTAAAATTGATGGTTGTAGTGTCACGTCGAATGGCTTCCTCTGCACCTGGGAGAGCTTCCCTTAGTCGGCTGCATATCAGTACCTGTACTTGTAGCTAAACGTCCCTTACATTTTCCCCGTTCTCCATTTTTTTGTGGCCCTCCTTATTCATTCCTCGTTGGGGCTAGATTATCTTTGTATACTTAATCTTTCTGTGGCTTTGTTGTTTATTCTATTCCGTTACGAAAAATATCAACATGGTGCGAGAAAAAGGCGGAAACAGAGAGCAGAATGAGTACAGGAGGAGAAGTCTAAAAGCACCTCGCACATTATTAAAAATTAGGCTGAGCGTGAGTGAGTACGTACGAGTGGTGTAAAGTTTGCGTCGCAGCATTTCATTCCTACGGCTGCGCGTAGCTCTTCTTCTTCTCGAACCGCCACGCGGCACTAGCGACCGGCGATGCCATTTTGCGCTGGCTCCTGCGTTCGCGACAATAGCGCATTGGGGTTGCTCCTATGTAGCCAGTAGTGCATCGACGCTGTCGTGGCAATAGCAGGTCGAGCGCGTCATCGCGAAAGTCGTGAACGCCTCTCCGACAAGGACAAATAGAGCGAGAAAACAGAGAGCAGACGCCTTCACCATCTATCCTTTTCCAATGTCATTCTTTCTTTTCACACCATCTGCTATCTACCCCAACGCACTTCACATAGCTATAAAGATCTTATGTGGGTGAATAAATGACAGTTTCAAACCGTTGAAACTCTCATAGCATGCGACTAACTGGTATTCTGAGCTGCGTTCATAGTTTGCGGCAGCGTCCTCAGGCGACCACGAGCGTCCATTGGAGAGTATGGGGAAGTAGGAGGGTAGCAGGCTGCCGGTAGAGTATAGGGAAGTAGGAAGGAACGGACAGCAAATGGAATAGGCGTCGCGAAATTGCGGCGTGTGCAGCATCACCGCAGAATTACTAAAGCACAGACATGCGCATTTTAATGTACGGTACCGGGTAGTAGTACGGTGCGATTGCACACGCCGCAATTTGAAGGCGTCCAAACCAGGTGTCTGCTCCTCCTACTTCCGCGTGCTCTACCTGCAGTCTGCTACCCTCCTACTTCCCCATGCTCCCCACTGCTAGACGCTGGTGGTCGCCAGTGGACGCTGCCGCAAAGTATGACAGCAGCCGAGACGGCGAAACGGAAGACTGGGCGACCCGACGTTTTGAGACGATCGCCGAATTTCCTTAGTCGCTTGCGCCGCGTGGAGCGATACCCATACAGTCCCGCGGGCGCGCAATCGCTCGAAACAGTCGTCCAAAAGTCGTCCAAAACGCCCAATAACTGATTCTCCCCAACCACCAATACAATGTCTATAAGTTCGTGGTAGCACAATCTGGAATCACTAAGAAGGGAATGGTCTGAACTTCCCATGGAACTTTGAATGGAGACCTAGGTACATCGATAGAGTCTCGAATGCTGATTACGAATATGCAGATTAAAAGTGCTACGGGGACCTCCCAGACGAGTTCTGGGCGGTCAAAGTTTGCGAAAACTCGGTTTTGTCTCGTAAGCGCTGCTGATCGGTCACTGGGCAGTGCCACCGTGGCCTAGTGGTAATGGTCTCGCTTCAAGCTGAATGCTCGTGGGTTTGCATCCCGTTGGCGCGAAAGTAAGAGCTTCGACTCTAATTTTCGAAATTCTTCCGTGTTTACGGCCCAGCAGAGCAAGTAGATCAAGTATATGACGCAGTCGATCGAGTATTGATTGATCACTATCTGTCCTCTCTGAACTCATTACCCATCCGACAATTCGAAGTTTTGGCCAGAATCACAACTTGGCCAGAAACTCGTTTCTGGGGGTATTTTGACCCCCTGAGCACGGATATCACATCCGTTTGACGCGAAAACGATCGGTTCCCTCGTTCAGTTGATGACCACAACAACGTGAAAGGCTACAAGCGTTTTCTCGCCGAACGATATGATATTCGTTTTCAGGGGGTCAAAATACCCCTAGGAACGAGTTTCTGGCCAAAACTTCGAATTGTCGGATGGGTAATGAGTTCAGAGAGGACAGATAGCGACCAAATCCATACTCGATCGAGTACGTCAATACTTGATCTACTTGCTCTGCTAGGCCGTAAACACAGAAGAATTTCGAAAATTAGAGTGAACACTCTTATAGGAACACAGCAAAAATTTTCACGCCATCGGGATGCAAACCTACCAGCATTTGGCTTTAAAGCGAGACCATTACCACTATGCCACGATGGCACTGACCGATCAGCAGCGCTTACGAGACGAAACCGAGTTTTCGCAAACTTTGACCGCCCAGAACTCGTCTGGGAGGTCTCCGTAGCACTTTTAATCTGCATATTCGTAATCAGCATTCGAGCTCTATCGATATGGTATCCATTCAAAGTTCCATGGGAAGTTCAAACCATTCCCTTGTAAGCCTCCCAAATCGTCGAATCTCTTCGGTCGCGAAGTATGAGCGCCGCCTTAAGAATTCTAATTACCGGCGTTAGTAAGATTTACCAAACTATATGTAAAGTCCTGCCAATCGCCGAATCTCTTCAGTCGCGAAGTATGAACGCCGCCTCAAGAGTCCTAACTATCGGTACTAGTAAGATTTACCGAACTATTCAGGTTATCCGGAAAATTTCGAGAAAATTTCACACTTTTAGTTTGAAGAAGTGTAGCAAGCGAATGCCCCAACACAAAGTCATATATCAAGTGCTATGAGAAAGATGTGTTATGTTTGTAGATCAATCCTAATGCTGGCTGGTGTTATTCTCTATTGTTTATATGGATTGACATCACCTGAAAAATGTACGAGCGCGCACGATGTCCAACGCCATTTACTTCATCTTCACCGTTCTTACTCCTCTATCAGTCAAATCGGCAATGAGGAACTGTCACCGATGCTAGATTAAATACGCTTAATTTTATCTGTAATAGGAGACCAATAGGTCTGTTACGTGGAAGTTTAGCTTGAATCTTGCGTACACCCCCGCATCCTCGATACTCTATTCATTCTAGCTCCCACGCAACG